ATTCATATACAATATGTGTCTGTCTCTCTCTATCTCTCCCTCTTTTTTGTTTTTGCTTTATCTATCTTTCTCTCTCTTTCTCTCTCTCTCTCTCTCTCGCTCTCTCTCTCTCTCTCTCTCTCTGTCTCTCTCTCTCTCTCTCCCTCTCTCTCCCTCTCCCTCTACATATATATATATATATACGCACATACAGTATTATACATATACGCTTATATACATATATTGATACATATAGTTAGTACAATACATACAGCTTTTGCATATATACAATGCATGCACACACACACTATATATATATATATATATATATATATATATATTCATATTTATATTGATATTGATATTTCACAATATTTATATTTATATTTACATTTATACTTATATTTATATTTATATGGACACACCCCCCCCCCCCCCCCCCCATGACCTACCCAGATCTGTTTCCCTCGTAAATACCGTTTAAAACCCGCTCGTGCCCGATGCCGCAATTGCTACTCTCAGTGGCTGTATCTGGACCAAACAGACCCCAACCGGAGCCGAGACGGGCGAGACCAAAAAACCAAAAAAACCAACTTTTTAAGAGAATGGGGAGGGGATGTTGAAAAAGATGGTTTTTTGGTTTTGCCTCGTAAACAGATGGTTTTCATAGAAAACCAACTTTTCCCACGTAAAAAGATGGTTTTCCTTAAGAACACCAAGCCAAACCATCTTTTTTACGAGGGAAAAGTTGGTTTTCCTATGCAAAACCATCTTTTTTCCTGAGGCAGGCCAGACCAAAACCATCTTTTTGCGATGGAAAAGTTGGTTTTCCTATGCAAAACCATCTTTTTACGAGGCAAAACCAAAAAACACAATCTTTTTCACCTCCCCATTCTCTAAAAAAGATGTTTTTTTTTGTTTTTTGGTGACGCTTCGTACCTCTCTCGGGCCAGAACCGTTCAGCTAGCTCTACATGTAGCTGTCCAGTGGACGGTGTGGGTTTTGGTCAGTCTTATATTAATCTCAGCAATAGCATTCCTGTTCCTATTAATGTAAAAGGGTTCCTAATTATCTTCATAGGACTTCTTTTCATTTTACTTATATTCTTATGAACTTTCAGAGGGTTCTTAGTCAACATCAGAGGATTCCTAATACTTTTCAATGGGTTCTTATGCATTTCAACAAGGTTCTTAATCATTTTCAAGTGGTTCTTTTAATTCCAATAGGGTTCCTCTGAAATTCAAAATCTTTTTTAAGATTCATATTGGTGCCTATTGATTTTAGTGAGTCTCCAAGTATTTTTAATGGTATGCTTGGAAATTTGAATAGCATTCCTAGTCCTATTAATTCTAATAGGAATCACATTAAGTCTAACAGGAAGCCAAGAAATTTTGAAAAGGAACCACATTGAATTTTGTAGGATTCCTATTGGTTCCTATTAATCTTAGTAGGATTCCTCTTCATTTTAAAAGGGTTCCTATCAATTCGTAATAGGGTTCTTATGAATTTTACTGGGGTTCCTAATAAATTCCGATTAACGTCAAAGGGTTCCTAACCATCTTAATAGGACTCCTCTACCATTTCATAATATTCTTATGAGTTTTCATGGGGTTCTTATTCAATGTAGCAGGATTCCTAATACGGTTTTGTAAATAGGGTTCTTATGAATTCAACAAGGTTCTCAATCATTTTAAAGTGGCTTCTTTTAGTTTCAATCGGGGTAATGAAAAGGACTCATACTTCTTTTTTAGGATTCCTATTGGTTCCTATTCATGTTTGTGACTTTCAAAGTGATTTGAATGGTCTTTTTCTGAGAGATTTGAATAGCATTCCTGCCCCATTTATTCGAAGAGGAATCACATTAGTTCTAACAGGAAGCCTAGAAATCCGAACCACATTTATTTTTATAGGGTTCCTATTTGTTCCTATTAATTTTAGTGGGATTTCTCCCCATTTTCAAAGGTTTCCCATTAATTTGCAATAGGGTTCTTATGATTTTGAGTGGTGTTGCTTATAAATTCCTATTGATGGTAGGACCCTCTTCATGTAAAAGATTCCTCTTAATTTGTAAAAGGGTTCTTATGAAACCTAGTGGGGTTCCTCATAATTTGAATAGGATTCTTCTAATTCATCATAACAAGAGTAAGAGAAATATTGATAGGATTCCTATTTAGATTCAATAGAATTCCCGCATTCCCGTGAATTCAAGAAGGGTCCCTTTTCATTTTCACAGGCTTCCTACTATTCTTCATGGGGGCCCTATTATTTTTCTACATTTTACTAGCATTCCCATGACGTTTGATGGAGAGTTCCTATGACTCAAATATGATTCCAAGTCATTTTTCCTGTTAATTCAAGAAGATTCCTATTCTTCAATAAGAGTCTTATTGATTTTCATAGGGTTCGTATTCATTTTCATAGGGTTTTCATTCAAGTAATACGGTTCTTAATCAAGTCATACCTATGACTAAGTATGGATTTCTTACTCCGACACGGCCTCACGGTAGGTCATGGGGGGGGGGGGGGTGTGAGCATTTATACTTATATTTATATTTATATTTATTAAACATATACAGTACGTACAATGGCAATGTCCAATACAATGTCTACAAGATGTACAAGATATACAGCAATACTTCATATTTAACATCCATGTTAACATATAGCGTCATGTTCTTTGTACAGAATTATATGGCAGGCTTCCGCGCTGCCGTCCATGCCGGTTCGCATCCTTCCACAGGAGACCCGAAAACCGAAGCCGTTTAAAACTGTCTGCCCCAAAAAGCCCTAAGCCCAAAATCTCCTATGTTCTACTGGCGCGCTTCGTCCCTGCAGCCTGGGCGGGGTGGCGAACAAAACTTTCAGGGCACGCCACGCAGGCCATGGGGAATCTTGCTCGCCTTTCGTAGACGGGTCTCGGTAGCCAGGCTTAGCACAGTTGTGAGGTTGATCGTTAGTTGCTGTGCATCCGAGCTTGTTTGGTCCCGTGCTGGCAAAAGCATAACATGTCCGTTTAAAATCCCGATGCAATTGGAATATAGAGGCTGGCCAGAATACGCGGCTTCCAGGCAGCTTTACCTTTCATCATGGACCTCGGTTTCGAGACGCTCAGCGAGCTAAGTCGGCGAAGTATGAGTGTAACAGCTCGAGCGATTTCCAGTGCTGAGCTCGAAGTTGCTGCCCTTAGCCCAGAACCCCTTAACCCAACTGTTCTTGATGTTATGAATCTGTGCGCTAGCCCATCAGACGGAGCGGTTTCACATCCAGTGGAGCGGCGGATACGGAGTCCCCGTCCTGCACAGGATATTTAGGAAACCTTCTTGGGTATATCTTGGTTATCTACCTCGCCAGGAATCCCCACCCTTCACTCAATTATGCTATAAGTATGGACCTGCCGTGATTTTTTGTTCAGAATCCAGACCTCGAGCTTCGGATCAGGCTTGCGGTGGAGGGTTGTGCTCTGGCGGCTAGCAAGCCCACTTTCCAAAAAGGTTTACTATAAAGCTCTGACGAATGGTAATACTCTCCCCTCGCAGTTCATATGGTCAAAATAAAGTCGAAAAACCTTTTCAAGCTTAACGCCCTCCTAGAGCCCTCGAAAGGACCCTTCAAGGAACCTTCATAGGCCCGCACCCCCCCTTCAAGACCGATCATCATAGGATCCTGAGATGGAAGTGTTAAAGGAAAGACGGGCTATTCATCGAGGGTCTTCACAACTATTCTGAGCATAGATCACCTCTGCAAGGCCCAACATTCGAACACTCTTATGCCAACGGTAAGCCTTGCAAAGCCCGTAATACCCGAATGGCAAGCTGCGGAATACCCTTGAGGTCCAATTCAGCTGTCAAGTATGGTTAACCCCACGTAGGGAACTTATAATCCCAATTATCACCCCACTTTTTGACTCCCCTGAGCCTTAAGCAGTCAGAGCAGCTCCTTGTCAGATCTGCAGAAGCTTTCATTCGAGGGTTTATAGTATGGCTTTATCCTTATTTAGGGTACTTACAACCCCATTGGTAACCTCCCGTGAACCACCCAGTAGAGTTGCAGCTTCAGGACTCCTCGTCGGCCTCCGTGTTGCCGGGCCTCGTGAAGGCCCAGGCGCAAGTGCGCGGATATCTCGCCGCTGGCCCTGCAATTGTGGAGGGAGGAGATGGATCGCTAATGTATATATATATGTATATATATATATATATATATATATATATATACTAGCCGGTGTAGGGGGCCCCGGGTTCCAAGCTTCATGAGAGATGAGAGAGAGAGAGAGGGGCGGCCCTGACTCTCATTCCGCAGACTTTGCTCTCCGCACTTCTATCGTTTTCTCCTTCTTGAGGCACGAGTGAAGTCCCATGCCCTTATCCAAGGGAGGGAGAGGCGCAGAAACCATCGACCGAAACTGCAGGGGTGCGCATGCATTGCAAAGCCTGGTCCCCTATGTCTCACGAACGGAAAGGGGAGAACCTGTTTACGCATTTAGCGTTAGTATCGGCTTTGCAATTCCATCACCGACTCTTGGACGGGTGGCTCTATCATGCATCTTCGGTCGAAGTGCGTGTCGTGGTCTTGCACCGTCTGGGGGTCCATGCCGGCACGTGATACTGTAACTGTTGATGTGGCTGGAGTCACTACGGGCTTTGAGGGCGCGGCGCCTTCATCAGGTGAGAAGAGAATCCGATTCACGAAAGCAGCTGTCGACTCAGAGCGTCATCGCGCATCTGCGATTAGAGCTCGGCCGATTGCAAGCTGAGGTACATGTTCTCCTTCGCCTCCTGCTGCGTGCAGTAGGTTACTAGGCACCGCTGACGAAGCCTGATGGTGGCGCGTGAGCTGCTCGCGGCTTGCTGTAGAGTGTGCAGTGTACAGATGTGTACAGTTCGCAAAGCGCGAGCAGCCAATTGGGCGAGAGAGGCAGCCGGAAGAAGTGTCGTTGACACATCGGCTCTCTGTTCCTGCGCCGGCATTGGCTTCAGAGGCTTCTGGCATGTCAGCTTCTTTTTTCTGTGCCGGATGTTTGACAGGCCACCGTGAGCTCGCTGGGGGACAACTCGGCGGAAGGCAGGCGTGAGCATGCTCTCAGCTCTTGCACGGACTCTTATATTCTTATATCAAGGTGCCCGCAGCTTTTGCTGGAGGTTCGGGGATTCTTGCACACACTATCGCACATAGGCAAAGAAGCTTGCAGAAGGAAAGTTCCCAGAAGCACACCCCGAGAGCGCCCGAGCCATGAGACCGCCGGTCACGATCGCCGTGGTCTTGGCAGCTTGCACACGTGGCTTCGGACACCCGGTGCTTTTGCAAGACGGCTGCGGCGCGCTCGGCTGCGAGGGTGACGGTGACAAGGACTCGGCTTTCGCAGCGGTTCAGCTTGCAGCGTCGCTCCAGCGCAGCGGTCGGGGTGCCGTGGCTTCCGTGGAAGCCACCTGCTTGCTCGCCGCACCGGAGTTGTCGGCTGCCGTCCGCCGCTTCCTCAGGAAGATGAGCAAGAAACCACACCCTGCGGGCCCTGCGGGCCCTGCGGGTGGGGGCGATTCGGGTGCCGAAGTCGCCTTGGTGGAGGCGGCCTCGCGGGCCGGCTGCAATCAAGCACAATTGAAGGCTATGAAGGCGGGTGCCCAGGTGGCCGCTTTGGTGAGCATGGTGGAGTCGCTTGGGAACCTGCGCCTCATGCCCTCGCGACGCGAACCTGGAGATGGCAGCACCACCTTCGTCTTCGAAAGCTTTGATGAGCATGGCCGCGTGGGCACTGGTATGCTTGGACAGGGCTGCGAGGATAAGAGCGTATCTGAGGTGACAGTCGCCGTTTCGCAAGCCGGGCCCTTCTTGTGGACCAACCTCACAGGCGCCAGCATGCCCTTCAAGATTGGCCCACCCTGTGTCAAGACACACTTGATCTCAGGAACCATGTGGCCCACGAAAGTCACGGCCGAGGGCATGGTGGGCGAAATCCGAGCCGGCTTCGTCAACCTGCGATCCACCATGACTGGCACCTGGAGCACGGGGCCCATGGGCTTCGAAGGCAACTTGTCTGTGGCCTTTGATGAGCTTCTCGATGTGGAGTGGACCTGGAGGCCCGAGCCTTGAGACACCCGCAGTTCCCCATGCCCTGTTCCCCACCTTTGGCCCAGAGGGGGCCAGAGGTGCCGTGCCCAGAAGCTGACATAAGATTGGCTCGCGCGGAAAACGTGGCGCTCAACCTTTAGGACATCTGGGGAGCGTCCTTCTTGTGCGTCACTTCCAAAACGTGGCGCTCAACCTTTAGGACTTTAGGACATCTGGGGAGCGTCCTTCTTGCGCGTCACTTCCCCCGAGCCGACGTCTGAACTGCAAAGGCGGATTGGATGCGCAGCTCATGCTGTACATGAGCCGCTTCCGGAGTGTTTGGGTGCCTTTTGGCATGCGATTGCTGGAAAGCAGCCCCGCTTTCAAACCCCCAAAAAAATTTCGTTTCCTGGCCGCGCCAGGATGCACCCGAAGAGCACAGGGAGCTGTCTCAGGCCACGGGCATCTGTAGCATCGGTAGCTGATACTTGGAGGTTCAATGGGCCTTTTAGGCAGGGTCTGAAGGACCCGAATTCAGGTTATCACCGTACTTACCCGACATTTCCCCCCTGCTTTTAAGAACCCATGAACCTCCAAAGTAGCTTTCTCTCTTCTGCCTCTTGTTGGGTCCAAGAAGTGACCCGAAAGTGATGTTGGCTGGCAGGCCCCCTGGCAGGCCACCTTGCCTGGACCTGCTGCGCCCAGCAGGCTTGAGGCGGCCAGCTTGAGCCGGTCACCAAAGTTGCAGTTCTTGAGGGCCGTAAACCCTAAACCCTAAACCCTAAACCCTAAACCCTAAACCCTAAACCCTAAACCCCAAAAACCCTAAACCTCAAAACCCTAAACCCTAAACCCCGAAACCTCTGCCGAGGTCTTCCAGCCGATGTCTCGGCCAGGCCTGTGCCAGAGCCCGTGGAGCGGCCAACTCTGAGTGTCGAGCCCGGCAGCGGCACGATGCTCAGCCGCCCTTGCTGGGACCACTCCAAGGGGGGGCTTTTAAACCCTAAAGCCCTAAACCCTAAACCCTAAGTAAACCCGAAACCCTAAACCCTAAACCCTAAATAAACCCTAAACCCTAAATGCCCTAAACCCTGGACCCTAAAGAGAAGGAAGTTTTTCATGCAATCAGGTGACCGTGTGAGCGAGGAGGCCAAGCCTTCATCCCCCAGTTCGCGGCCTGGTCGTTGTGACAACATATGGTCCATGTCTCTACAATATGGTCCCTTTTCGGGTTACCATGAGAAGGCGGCCCTTAATATTGGGGTACCCGCAAAAAAGGGACAATAACTTAGAGAACGGACCAACATGAGATCTGCAATCTGCTTCAAGCCTGTGTCGTTGATAGCTGCCTGAGCTCAGACGCCATGGAGTGCCAGCCAGAGAGCGCCCTGCTCAGTTTGCGCATGACTTTGCATCACTTGGCATCACTTGGATGTCGCCCTTCAACTTTAGAGCAAGTTGAGGCAGAGAGCAGTCAGCAGAAGCCGGTAACAGTGCTGGTGTTGCGTGGCCATCATGAGGCAAAACTGCCTCCCACAATGATGCCCTCGCTGAAGAAATGCGTCCAAGCGCATCGGCGCCATCAAGCGTGTCGCAGCCCTGCGTGTGGCTCGGATCAGGCGTGCCTTAGGGGGAAGGAAGTGTTCCATTTCACGTTTCGCAGAGAGAATGGGAGTGTCTATCTTTCTTAAGGGCTGTGCGGTAGGTCCCAACTTGCAAACCAGCCCATACAAGCAACCGCCAGGAAACTCGAGCTAATGCCCAAGCTTGCGAGCAGCAGCTGGATGCCCGCAAGTAGATAAATCACACAATCATTAGCCTGCAAGTAGATACATCTAAACCCTAAACCCTAAACCCTGGGCCCTAAACCCTAAACCCTAAACCCTAAACCCTAAACCCTAAACCCTAAACCCTAAACCCTAAACCCTAAACCCTAAACCCTAAAACGTCCAATGATGTGCAATTTTTGAGGCCTGGGCCATGCTCAAGAGACACTGCCTGCGCAAAGCTCGCGGGGTGTGGACCTCTGTGTCTTAACCGCCGCAGCTCAACACGGTCCCACACAGTAGCCAAGGATCATTTGAGGAAATGGGTTCAGAGTTTAGGGTTTAGGGTTTGGGTTTAGGATGGCAAGGATCAGCTGTTAGGGCGCCAATCCATGGTGTGCGTTGAGAGCACTTGCAGCCCCAAAACAGTCGCAGGCTGGCGGTAGTCTGACATACTGGGTTGTCCTTTGGCATAATTTCAATTGTCCATTCTTTCCCGTTTAACCGTTCATAACTAACTAATTTTCAAAGGGCGTTAAAGCACCACTCAGCATATAATGTCTGGTGAAATGGATGTGTGCTTGTGAAACGATGACTCCGAGAGCGCCAGGTCCCGGACAGACTTGATAGGTTTTCAGGCATGAACACTGAACACGTCTCTCTTTCGATCACCTGTGCCTGCAGGTGATCTGCAAACGGAGTCTGAAGACCGGCAGACGAAGCTGCGACGTCCGGGGCTGAGAAGTTTCCGTGCTTGCGGAATTACCTGCCGCAAGGTTTTCACTGTTTTTCTGTTCTATCTTCCTACGTGTTATATCATGCCGCCATACATACGACTCAGAACCCTTCCAGCTTTGACAGCTGCTGTTCACGGGTCCGACGCCTCTCCCCTTGAAGGTGAAGAAGGTGACGAGGGTCAAGCAGAAGCCGAAACTGGCTGGACACTCGGACACAAACCTGCCTGCAGGAGCTTGCGCCCGCCTCTGAGCTTGGAGGCAAGCACATGGGAGAGGTTTTCAGAGATATCGGCTGAAAGAGTGCTAAGCGCATAAGTGCCAGCCTTCCAGCCGATTGCACGCCGATGCCACTTGCAATTGGTGCACACAAGGCTGCAGAAGAGCTGCAGCCGAAAATGGGGCTCGATTTTCGATGTGTGTAGTGCCGGTTTCGATACTCAGCAGCACACACTAGACGAAGTCATGGCCTTCCAAAGAATTGCGAGAATGCATCTTTCTAGCGATTCAGATCCCCGACCAGCCATGCCCATGGGAGGATGCTGCGAGTGAGGTGCTTGCCCCCAAGTCTCCCAACGACGTTAAACCTCCATGTTGCGGTTGGTTTGGGTGCTGGCTGCTTCCCGCGCCGATGTCCTGGACTGGGTCTTCAGAAACCTCTTGGGCATTGGCGCCTTCGTGGCGTTGCTGCTGCTGTAGCTGGCCTGGCGGCCGGCAGATCCTTCGCATCCGAGTCCCGAGCGCGCTCCGTCCTACCTTCGAGCTCCATCGAAGAGGTCGGCTACATAACGGACCTGGAGGGCGACTTGGACACCTTCAACCGGTATCTGGACAGCCGGCGGGCCGTGCTCCGCAGGGATGCGAAGGGCGAGCTGCAGCTCCGCTCTCCCAACATGGCCTTTGTCTTCGGGGGTGACCTCTTTGACCGGGGCCCTGGAGACCTGCAGCTCGCGAGGGAGCTGGTCGCCCTCAAGAAGAGGCATCCGGACCGTGTCTTCCTGATCATGGGGAATCGTGACATCAACAAGATGCGCCTTGCCGCGGAGCTGCAGCCCGAGGAGGTCGCACGGGGTGCCGACACGGCTTTCAAGGCGTGGTGGGATCCGAAGGCTTCGGAGCTGCCAGACTACCTGGCCAAGAAAGGGTGGCCGGACACCAGGGCCACCAGGCTAAAGTGGATGCTCCAGTGCACCCTGGGCTCGCCCAACACCTTCCAACATCGAAGTGAGGAGTTGGCGCATCTTCAGGGCAAGGCCATCTCCGACGTCTCGGACGAGGACGTGGTGGAGAGCTTTTGCAGGTCCGTGCTGCGCAGCGACGGCGAGGTTGTGGCGTACCTCCAAAACGCACAAATCGGTGTGATCATCGGCGACACCCTCTTCGTCCATGGGGCAGTGGAGAAGCAGGCCCTGGGCTTCGTCCCGAGCGCCGCGCTGCGGTACAAGAGGAACAGTCGAGAGGAGGTGCTTGGACCGGGTTGTCGACAGAACCTCGCGCTGCGGGAGTGGATCGAGGGGCTGAACGACTTCGCCATGAGCCAGGTGGAGGCTTGGCAGCAGAGTCCTTTTTGGCAGGTGGACGTTGACAGCCGCACCAGAGGAGGGGAGGCACTGATGGCCTATCAGTCCCGACCAGCTATGGCACTGCACACGGTGGTGGTGACTTGCTACGTGGACGGCCACGCCATGCCCGCGCGGAAAGCCATTGACAAGGACAAGTTCGAGGGGTACCAGAAATGTTCGGACCCCTTGAACCCTGAGGTGCTGCAGTACCTGCTGGAGGGGGGCGTCCGGCGCGTTGTTGTCGGGCACAAGCCCAGTGGCGCCGCGCCGGCGGTGCTGCGCACCGCCGGGTTGGACCAGTTGGGCTACGAGGTCCTGTCCGCGGATACCAACTACGCCAGCTCCAAAACTCCCTGCTTAAGAGGTGGCTCCTGGTGTGAGGTACGCATCTCACTGATGTCAGGCGGCAGTCGGAGTAGGTTGCACGGAGTATTGCCGGATGGCTTGGGCAAGTATGACTTTTGTTTGCCCGTACTAGGTGCCCCCCTAAGCATGGAAGACAAGGGAGACCGTCTGGTGGGGCACGAGACGAGTGAGGGCTGGTGGGTTCGCGTCAAGCTGGAGTCGCCCAACTCAGAGCGGTACCTTCTGTCAAAGGGTAGGGGCCGATTAGCCGCTTATGACACAAAGGAAGCTGGCAAGTTCGATGTGCACCAGGAGCCTCCATCCATCATTCATCCACGCAGCACCTAGCGATAGCTGCACTTGTTGTGGCCCTATGTGTCCTTGCAACAACAAAGTAGTGTTGCACGTGACAAGCCGCGGCGCCGCCTGCAAACACATCACTGGGCCATGCGGACCACCAAAAAGGACATGCATGGGCCGAGGCAAACTCTCCGGAGGTTACTACTTGGAGGCTCATGGTACTTATGAACCAACTATCAACTGTACTTATAACCCACTTATAAGCCCCTTAAGTGCCCTAATAGGGTTACTACAGCTATAAGTACAGTTACAGTTGGCTCATAGGTACCATGAACCTCCAAGTAGCCAACTCAGATCCCACTGGCCATGAGGCCCAGATGCTCTGGAGCCTGCCCCACCAGGCCGCCTCGGGGTAGGGGTTGGGCTGGTTCTGGCGGTTTGAGCCAAGATGAAAGTGCTCTTTCGGGTACGCGAAGCTCGAAGTCCCCAAACCTGAGGGCCCATGCTTGATGTAGAAAATTCCCCTGCCCCCTCTCCCTCCCCCTCCTTGCATTGGGGGGGTGGGACTGGAGGCCCGATGGTGCGCCGCATCACCTCCAGCGCGGAGGCTCGGGCACGTTGCTCTCGAGCAGCTTGTTTCGCGCACATTCCCGCGTGAGCTTCAGAGATCATCTGCGAAGCCTTGGCGCAAGGATGATGTGCACACACATCCAGAGCCCTCGAAACCTCAACGCGTTTTGGAATGGGCAGTCGGGAGTGTGAGAAGAGAAGCCGGTTGAGGTGGCATTGGGTTGTGCATGGGCGCCTAAACCCCAAACCCGAACCACCAAGCAAGAATCCCTCAAACAACACCTAAGCCCTAAACCCGAAGCCCTGTTGGACTTGTCCGAGTGCGAGCGAACTGTGAGTGAAACAGCACCCTTAAACAACTTAAACCCCTAAACCCTGTGTGAAAAAGCACCCTTACACACAACTCAAAGGCTTCAAATGTGTCCTCCTGACCAGGGCAGCAGCTCGGTAAGCTCTGTGAGCTCGGACGACAGCCTGGCGAAGGCTGGAAGACAATAATCTAAGCAGTTACAACTTATGACAATATGAAAGATACAAACATGCAACAATACACAAAACATAATGAAAATACGAATACTAATAATACCTCCACCCCCCATCGTTTTCCATCACCCTAGGGTTTAGGGTTTAGGGTTTAGGGTTTAGGGTTTAGGGTTTAGGGTTTAGGGGTTAGGGGTTTAGGGTTTAGGGTTTAGGGTTTAGGGTTTAGGGTTTAGGGTTTAGGGTTTAGGGTTTAGGGGTTAGGGGTTAGGGGTTTAGGGTTTAGGGTTTAGGGTTTAGGGTTTAGGGGTTTAGGGTTTAGGGTTTAGGGTTTAGGGCTTAGGGCTTAGGGTTTAGGGTTTAGGGTTTAGGGTTTAGGGTTTAGGGAGGTGCTGCCAAACGATGGGGGGGGGGTGACGTAATAATAGCAACGTACATGTTAAACTCCAGCATATATATATATATATACATACATACATACCAATATATTACTTTCAGGGCTCAGGGGATCTCAGTTGCAAGCGGTCCAGGCGGAGTCCGGAGGCAAACAAGAAGTGGTCCGCGTTTCGGGGCACAAGGGTAGCGGAGGTTCATTTCCAGTGGGGGGTGCGGCTCAGGGTTCGCGACATCCAGTGCGAAATGATTGGACAAGACTATTGGGGTCAGAGTACGACGGCCTGGCGTGGATAGGGGGCGGCAGGTGTAGAGAGATTAGGTACCAAGGAGTGTAGAATCTTAGTGGTGCAGGGTTGCAGGGAGCCCGCAAGCCCCAAAAATTGAACCCCAACCCTAGGCGAAGGCAGTCCCACGGCGAGAGAGCAGCGAGGTGCGCCCACGGATGGGACATCCCACTCATTCATAGCGTTGAGAGGTGTTTGTGCATGCCCCTTTCTTTCGCCAAGGACTCCAGCAGCACAAGCAGCAGTGAAAACATAGAGCGCGCCTGATCAATCCTTCCATGTGTTTTCGGGGTGCGTTGCACATGATTGAGGTTTCAGACAATCGATGTGAGGTTTCAGACAATCGATGTGCCGACGCAAAAGCAAGAGCGCTGTTAGTCTGAGGTTCCGCCCGACCCTGTTTCCTGTTTGTCACACTTAAGTCCGATATCTTGCGGGTGTTTTGAAAGCCAGTGATGTCATGCCGGGCGAATGTCCATGCTGCCAGTCTGGCCTTAGTTTGAAATTAGCACGGAAGGAGGCGCTGTTCAAGTTCGGATGCTTTGATGGCCTGCGTGGATGTGCCCATGAAACCCATGCACAGCTAACTTCTCACACAAGCAGCTGAGGAGACGTAGCAGATAGCAGCTGTAGAAAGCCAGCAGCCAAAGGCAGCCCTGCAACCCCCAAACACGTGAACACCCCTTGTTTCGTGGGCTGCCTTGGCGGATCCAGCCATGGACGAACTGCTCCCCAGCTCTTTTGGAGTCTTTCTGGGGAGTGTTTCGGTTCCAGGAATGACACCTGAGATCGGCCGAACCCTAAACCCTAAACCCTAAACCCTAAACCCTAAACCCTAAACCCTAAACCCTAAACCCTAAACCCTAAACCCTAAACCCTAAACCCTAAACCCTAAACCCTAAACCCTAAACCCTAAACCCTAAACCCTAAACCGAAAACCCTAAACCCTAAACCCTAAACCCTAAACCCTAAACCCTAAACCCTAAACCCTAAACCCTAAACCCTAAACCCTAAACCCTAAACCCTAAACTTCACTGAGGCTTTCGCAGCTTCAGCACAAGATCAACCGGACTCACCCAATCTGTGTTCCGTCCGTGGGTGATAAGGCCGGAGCAGGGACCACTTCCCAAAGCCGCCCATTGGGGGTTTCGGATATTAGGAGTACCCATTGGGGTCCTTATTACAGGGGAATCCTACAAACCCTAAACCCCAAATCCTTGGCCCTAAACCCTAAACCCTAAACCCGAAACCCTAAACCCTAAACCCTAAACCCTAAACCCTAAACCCTAAACCCTACAATTTGGGGAATTTTGGGGGTTCCTGGACTATCGTAAATCCCCACATGGAGCCGCACGGCTGGAGGAGACCGGCAGTCGTCTCTGTCATTGGTCCCCGTTGGCGGATGCACTGCCGCTCGGTCCCAGAGTCGGCTCCGGTGATGCATGTTGGGTTTGGGGTTAGGGTTCAGGGTTCAGGGTTTAGGGTTCAGGGTTTAGGGTTTAGGGTTTAGGGTTCAGGGTTTAGGGTTTAGGGGTAAATGCAAGTAGAGTTATAAGGACCCTAACCCAAGGTTCAGCTGGAGCTAAGCGAGCGCAATGGAGCAGTTGTATCGCAAGGGTTCAGGGGGGTTGGTACGGTATGGCAGCATGGCGCACGGCTTAGACACCTGCGGTACGGTGGCCTCAAAGCAAGCCAGCCTCAACCAACACGTCGATTCCTATTCCAGCGAGCGCGAGGCGAGGTGAAAGAACCTTATTCATGCACCGAAAACCCAAGGGAATGATCGGTTCGCTCACAGAATTCTTTTTAAATAAGAGCCGTATTGTAAGGATTGAATGGTACGTTAAACTCCCGTCAAGTAACCTCTGTCCATTTAACTATGTGCTCTCTCTCTCTCTCTCTCTCTTCTACGCCAGGATTTATTGCTCTGTTCCCTGGCTTTTAGTTGTACAAATTATATGGATGGTGTGCCAGCTAATGGGGTCGCATGTGAAGGTTCTGCGTTTGAGTTCGGGCTCCCATTAATTTATCATAAATGTAACAGAGAATGCGGATGCGCGGTATTCAAATTCAAGGAGCATGCTCCGCGCGCGCATGATTTTATCGCGTTCTTTTCGTTTCTCTCACTATATTGCGGTGAGTGCGTACAACAAGTGAGGCAAAAGATTGGGAACACTAGTTGAAATATAGTAGCATGTAGGATTAAGATTCTGCCAAAGGCCCCAATATATCAAGGAAAAATACGAGCCTTTGAGCGAATAAACGAGAACCAAGATAAAGCACCAATGGTAAGAAAGACACGATTGCAAAGAACAAGGGTGAACAAGACCCGCAAACTCTCCTCGTACTGATTGTCTTTGCACACGGACTTGTCCGAAAGATAAGAATGAATACTCAAGGTGCCATATTTTTACAGCACTGTTCATGAGATGGCCGCGAGCTCGATTATCGCATTCTTATGAACGCTGGGCTCACGGTGTTACTCTATCTCTTGCCCCTGAACAACGATATTTGTGGGGTATTTTTTTTGGGCACTTCTTTGAATGGCACTTGCTGGTGGTATTTGGGTTTTTGGATAAGGTCTTCTTTTCACGTCCAGGTGAATGCAGTTGAGTCTTGTCTACTCTACAGACTTTTTCTTTGTAATACAACCGCACCAAGACATGAGCGTGTGTGGACTCCAAGGGGCAGCAATGATCCCAAATCTGGTGGCGAGTGGTGGGCAGTTCTTGACAGACTAGCGGCTGAGGAGCTTCTTGTGCATGATGCGTACAAGAAACAACAGACACTCCGCCCTGTGAGCATTTAGACTAGAGCACAGGACCAGAAGCTCCCATCCCAAAGAGTGCTTCATGAGCCCGTAAATGCATCCCCTTACAATCCGGACCCCACGAAGGCCCCGATATCGTAAACCCCAATCTCTTGCTACTGACAGCGATGTTGCACCATTCATGCCTGCCCTCCTGTGCGATTAATCCCCGGTCCCCTGGGAGGATCCTGGTTGCGGTGCTGCGATTGGCTGTCTAGTGGGCCTCGCGCTGGGTGATGCCTGTGGCGCGCCGTGCGCCGCCGAGAAGAGGGACCTTCGGGGATCTTTGTGGGGAAAATGGCTGCGTTTGGGGCCTGCTTTGGTGGAGTTCGTTCCGGTCTTGGTTCCAGTTCAAGGACTGCATTCAGTGTCGCGAGTAGGGAATCGGTTCGGGGGTCTCACAGGATCTCCGTGTCAGAAGGAACGGAAGGAAAAAGAGACGCCGAGCCCTGCTAGATGGGGCGTTCCGATTATCGGGGTACCCTCCTCTAGGTCCTTTCTAAATGGGATTCTACCTTAGTTGGGGGTACCCCTGTTCTAGGAAACCCCCCTGATGATGGTCCCGAGGACTGTGGGTGCTCAGGGAAGCTCAGAGTCGACTTTCCGAGGTTTCGCTCAACGCCTGGTAATAATAATAATTCTACTACAATAATAATGGTAGGAAGAATAATAATAGTAATAATAATGATAATAGTAACTAAGGGGCTTCTAACCGAAAACCCCAACACTCAGTTGCGCGGATACCAGAGCCTAAACCCTACCCAGATCTAGGGTTGAAGGAAGCCCTATCCAAATCCAAACCCTAAACCCTAAAACCAGACATTTCCCTACAGAGTGTCCGAGAGGTCAGCTAAACGGCTGGCAAAAAGCACCCAAATCCCAAAACCCCCAAAGCCCTCAACCCTAAACCCTAAACCCTTCATCCAGGTCGGTGTTGCAGAAGGCTCTAGGGGCCACGCGAAAACAGGGGACCCCTAATTTTGACTCCCAAATACTAGGCCCCTTTCATAAGGACCCCAGAAAGGGTTTAGGGTTTATGTTTTAGGGTTTAGGGTTTAGGGTTTAGGGTTTAGGGTTTAGGGGGTACCCCCTAATATCGTAAACCCCAAAAATCCCCCCCGAAGTCTCCCCCAAGGTTAGAGTTCTGCGCCGTGGACTCGCGGCTTCCCGCCCCCGTGGCAGCGCAAGAGGGGGGCTAGCCAAGTTTGGGGGTTTAGGGTTTAGGGTTTAGGGTTTGGGGTTTGGGGTTTGGGGTTTAGGTTTTAGGGTTTAGGGTGCTTGAGGATTCGAAGAGGCCTGGATGCAAAAGGGTGCTTGAGGGCAGCTGTGCAGACCTGGTTGTAAAAGGGTGCTTGAGGAATTTGGAGGGGTGGGGGGTTGAGGTTTCGGGGGCTCAGGGTTAGGGTCGAGGATGGCGTGGGGGCGGGGTTTGTCCCGACGGTCGCTGCAAGATGCAAAAGGGACGGTGGCATGTCAGTTGAGCCGCCCAGAATGTTGGGATGTTCTCCCTTATGCTAACAGTCCTGAATAGGGATTATAGTGGCGGGGGTACTTTCATCCCTATGAAGGACTGTTGGTGTAAGGGGAACATCCCAGACCAGAGCAAAGCGAGAGAAGCGCCAGCATCCACTGAGGATTTGCCTGACGGGGACTTCTCGGACCCGAGAAGGCCATGCCTTCTGGCCCAGCTGGATGAAGGCGGCCAGTTGAGCTACAAGCACGCGAGGAACAAATTCGACTTGAAGCTAGGCCCGGGGCCCAGACATGGGGGTGCAGATGTGGGGAATCCATAGCGGTGGCTGATAGCTTCAATCCTCCACGGATGGGAGACCCTGAACCCTAAACCCTTAACCCTAAACCCTAAACCCTAAACCCTAAACCCTAAACCCTGAGTTCTTCGGCGCGCGCTGCCCTTGCATGCTGTGCTTCACGCTACAGCTGTCAGATCGCTAGGGTTTAACAGCGGCTCCAGCACAGCTGGTAAGGCTTAGTTTAGTTTAGTTTGGTCACCGGCGGCATTCACACATCTTTAAGAAATATTCAACATACCGCATACCCCTTAAAAGAAATGATGGGGTAATGGTAAAATCCTCCCTTAGACTTCTTCTATTATCCTTTCATATAGGTTAAGGGGTATGGGTTTGGGGTAGGTGAACGCTTCTTGGAACATCTCTGCGACTATCAAGGGCTCCCGTGCAAATGTCATGCGTGCCCATGACACGCTCTACTGCAAGTGCCGAGGCCAATGGACAGACGATGCCAGCATGGCATTGTGCCCGCCTCTTAGCAAGTAGGACGCGCCCCCGGTTTTGTTCGACATGTACGTCAGTCAATGAATGCGAGGCCTAGCCGATTCCCTACTAGTGCGTGGGAGATACGATGGGGGCGACGTGCGAGTGAGATGGCATATGTGGTGGCCAGGGCCCTAGTTGCCTTGATTTCTTTCAGAAGCCTCAGAGAGATGCTGCGGAGCGTTTTGGGATTGGATCTCCGCATCCACACAAGGTTTCACGGATATTGCAATGCCTTCCGCTACGATCCCGAACGTCGGAAGGGCCGTGGTTCGGTTGGGTTGGGAGGCAACGTCGCCAAGTCGCTGCAGGAGATTGAGCGAAACTTGGCTGCCACTTTGAAGTCTTCATATTTGTTTTTTTTTGGGGTCTGGGTTGAAAAGGGTTGAGGGAAGAATGTTCAAAGGGGTTTAGGGTTTTCAGGGTGAATGTGCAGGTGTTTTCATAACACCCAAAACAAACAGCACCATGGAAAGAGCAAGCCGAGAACCCTGAGCGTCTGATTTCTGGGGAAAGAAGACCCAGAGAGGCCCTGTGAAAGGACCCGGGAGCATGAAGGATCCCCGGAGAGGCCGGGAATATGCCCCGGTTAGGGCTTTGGGATGTGGAGAAAGCAGGATGCGGGCTACTACCTTTCAAGGTGAATGCCGGGCAGCTTTCCCAGCAGAGGCAGAAAAGTAGGATGCAGAGCCGCCCCAAGGCAGCAGTCGTAGTAGCACGGAAGAAGGTGCTACTGTCAGCACGTTCGTTTAAAATGTTTCTGGCTCTACTTTCAGAGAGTAGGTTCATCTCACAGGTGTGACGCAAGGAAGTGCGGAAACTCTGGGAGGGTTCTCCCACGCATAGCATGGCCTGGTCCTGAGCGCAAAAGTGTGCAATGCCTTCTGAGGTGCCGTGCACCTTGCTCAGTCTGCTGGCCGCTTGCCGAAGAATGCCAGCCATGCAAGCGTTGTGCCACCAGTGTACCAGTCGGCTTCGAATGACTCCGGCAATGGCAGCTCGGTTGCTATAGTTGCAGTTTTCGGAAACCCCTCATGTCCTTTTGGTGGCACGTCTGCAGGTCCTTCACATGGGCTCATGGGCCACTGATTTCCTCTTGCATGTCGGATAAGGCGCGCACCCAATGTCCCGCAGCCGCTTTGGCTCTCCCCGCTTAGGGCGGTCTCGCTGGCAGCATGGGGAATGTTATGGGATGGCCCCATCTCGATAGATTGCAAGTTGGGAAGTCCCCGGTAGTTTTCGAAAGAAGCTGTCGCCGTGCTGCGGACGCCGCCCTGCCAGTTCCTTTTTTTTACTGCTGCCTTTGCACCCAGAATTAGCAAAACCTCATCTTCATGAGCTCGACAACGAGTGCTTTCGCCGCCTTCCTGGAGCAGCAGCTGCGGTTGCTGCACCAGCAGATCGTGGAGAAGCATGAGGACCCCGGGCACCTGTGAAACTTGAACCCTCATGCAGTTTGTTGCAACTGGGACCCTTTGCTGCCACACCCGAACCCTAAGACCAGAAGACCCCCAAAACCCTAAGACCCTAAAACCCCCCGAAACCTCTAACACCCTAATCCCTGAGCCCGAAAACATCCTAAATACCCCAAGACATCCTAAAACCCCAAAAGATCCCAAACCCCCAAAACATCCGGAAACTTGAAACAAGAATGCTGAAACCTCAAAACCCCAAAGCCCTTCGACAGGAGATTGTCAACGGTATCCTGGAGCCCTTGGCAGCATTTGTGGTGAAGGGGTGATGCCTTCTTGATCGCAACGAAAGCATACACAAGGGCTTCCAAAGGATAGATAGGATCGAAGTTATGAGAGTTTGAAAGCCTTTCGAGCTCGAATGCTTGAGAGATTGCGCAGGGCAAAAGGTCGAAAGCTTGACAAATCGAACATGTCGAGTTCGGAGGTTGAGACTACGCGAATGTGAGTAGCTTTCAAACTCCAAACTTTCAGAGCTCATACCTTCAATGGTTCAAAGCTTCGAGGTCGAAGCACTTCTTCCCCCACCCAATCTCCAAACATTGGCGCATCCCGGGTTGAAAAAACAACCCGCAAGTTGAAAGTTTTGGGTTTGGAGAAGCATTTCGAACTCGAAAGTGTGATCCGCAGTCCAGCTTGAAGAGTTCTATAGTTTGAAAGTTTCGCGGGGTCCATGTCGCGAGTTCGAAAGTTTGAAAGAATTGGAGTGTAGAGTTCGATGTTCGCAGCCCGCTCGGGCTCTGAGTTTGAGAGGAAGGTTAGTTCGACGCTTGTTCGCGAGTTTCAGGGTTAGAAACAGGACGAGTTTATAAGCTTGATCACGCCGAGATTTCTGCGAATTAATTACCAGTAGTGTGAGAGTCGAAAAACCCTAAATCCTAAATCCTAAGCCGCTGTGGGTTTTAGACTCCCAGAGCCTCCCTTCCCCCCCCCCCCCCCCCCCCCAAGAGTCCCCCCCAAGAGTTGCTTTCGGTGCCCCTGAGCCCACAAGCCCAGGAGGATGTTCCCCTGCGCTCTGGACTCCTAGGGCGGCTGCAGGGAACTCGTGCACCTCGAAGTGTTTAAGGGAATCGAGGATTTGGGACAGCTGATCCTCTGTTGGTTCTTTTTTTTTTTCTGAGGGCGGTTCAGGGGGGATGCGGATCAAAAAAAGATTATTTAGGATCAAGAAAAATTTATTTAGGATCAAAAAATTATTTGGGATCAAGAAATAATTTATTCTGTTCTTCCGACGGAGAGAGGGAAGGGGAGGGAGGGAGGGAGAAAAGGAGGGAGGGAGGGAAGGAAGGGCGGGAGGGCGGAAGGACGGAAGGAAGGAAGGAAGGCAGGAAAGAAGGAATGAAGGAAGGAAGCAAGCAAGCAAGGAAGCAAGGAAACAAGGAAGCAAGGAAGCAAGGAAGCAAGGAAGCAAGGAAGCAAGGAAGCAAGGAAGCAAGGAAGCCAGGAAGCAAGGAAGCAAGGAAGCAAGGAAGGAAGGAAGGAAGGAAGGGAGAGGAAATGAAAGGACAGGAAAAGATATGTAGGAAAACATAACATAACATCATATGTTGTAATTTGTATATATATATATGTGTGTATATATTCAAACAAAGTATAACAAAATGTTATAGTGGCATAGAGTAGACTAGAACACAATATCGTATAGTATACCTTTGTATCATAAAAAATTAATAAAACCGAAATAACAAAGCATATATGTATATATTTACTGCTATTTGATATAGAACTCATAATACACAATACATATCTCTTGTTTGTTTGGCGCCGGGCAAGCTTCTTCAACGCGTATGAATCCCTTCCAAACCCATGATGCGAGCATTGTGTTTGCAAATGGGGCGGGGGGGTCTGCGCCCCCCCTTCAAACCCCCCACTGTTTTTGAAAGCTGGGCAAGCTTGCTTCAAAGCATATAAATATCCTTTCCAACCAATGGTGCGAGCGTTGTGTTGCAAATTGGGGGGGGCTGCGCCCCCCCCAACCCCCCCGCTGTTTTCTTAGTCCGGGCAAGCTTGCTTCAAAGCACATGAATCCTTCCAATCCCATGATGCGAGCACTTTTTTGCAACATGAAGACACAATAAGATACAAAGATATACAAGAATATATTACAAAAAGATGCAATAAAATACAGCAAGACACAAAAAACACAACAATATACAAGTATGTACAAGAATATGCAGCAATATACACGTAAAAAAAGAATAACTTACAATAATTTTCAGTAATTGACAACAATACTCAATAATAGACAACAAAATACAATAATATACAACCATAAAAACAATATTTTTCAAAAAAACACAAAACATGTAAAGCAATATAGAAAAACACAAAAGCACAATGACATACAACAAGATAAAATAGTGTATAAAACTTACAATAATATAATAGTAGACAATCATATATACTAATATACAAGAATATACAATAATATACTATAATATAGACCAATAATATACAATAATATACAGTAACCTACAAAAAAGAGAACAAGATACAACAACGTCAAAACTATGCAATAACATTCAATAACATGCAATAATGTGCAATATTATACCAAAACACAAGAAAACACAAGACAATACAATAGTACTCAACAATATATATAACAATGTACAATAATATGCAAGAATATACAATGTCATAAAATATTATACAAGAATTTCCACAATACTATGCCAGAATATACATGCTTCAGAGTATACGCATTTTTTGAAACTTCTAATGCCAAGATGCCAGCATTGATTTGCAGCCTCTGCAAACTCAGAAACTATTTACAGTATTTCCAGCCTCTGAAATCGTAGAAATGCTGCTATTTTCAGTATTTGCAGCCTCTGGAAACTCAGAAATGCTGCAGTGTACAGTATTTCCAGCCTCTGAAAGCGCAGAACAGCTGCTATATGCAATATCTGCAGCCTCTCTGGAAACTCAGAAATGCTGCTATTTTCAGTAGTTCCCGCATAAATGCTGTATTTTTTCGGTATTTAGAGCTTGCGAATGGCCAGAACTGCTGCATTTCTGAGCGTTTACAGCCTCCGCTCCGCTTGCAAGAAGCCTTCAAAGCCTTCAGTAAATTATGTTTTGATCCCAAATAAGTTTTTTTTTGATCCGCCTAGAAATAAATTATTTTTTGGTCCCAAATAATTCTTTTTTTTGATCCCCTACCCCTGAGTTCAGGGTTCCAGGGTTGAGGGCTTCGGTTTCAGGGGTTTCAGGGGTCCAAGGCTCTGCAGGCTGGAAGCAAAAACGGGTTGAGGGCCTGTAGTTTAGAGGTTGTGGAAGCTTGTGAACAGTTTTTTGTCTCCCGGGTTTGTTGCTTTGGCAGCGTGGTAGAGCAAGCTGCTTGCTGCGCGCGAAACGAGAGTGGCAGTTGCGTGTTTTTGTACAGGAGGCCGGAGATGTTGGAGGCGAAGGGTGTGCACGCATGAGAAGAGCAGTCCCGTTAGTTATGACGAATGACGACCCATGCTATTCCACTTCTCTGTGAAAACCAAAGCCAAAACCTAAGACTCAACCCCTGCCTAAGAACCAAGCAGCATTTTGGCGCGTCCTTCCGAGCCGGACAAATTTGCAAATGGCATAGACTTTCGAACAGAGTCGCTTTATTTGTGCTGCAATTTGTTTCTGTGTTCATTCTGCTTTCATGCGGTTAGATGTGCGCAAGCGGTAACAACACAAGTAAACCTGCCTAAAGTCTGTGTGAACATTCAGTTGTAGCCAACGGTCTTGCAACTTTCGAGTGTGCGTGGATAGGCTTTGGCTCGAGAATGTTTGTTGCGTGTAGGTACATGGGATGGTCAGGAATAGCACTCTTTTAAAACTTTGGTTTGCTCATTGCTCTTTTCGTGCCTGGCCGGCGAGACCCCATGAGGGCTCAACTAAGTCTGGGCGTAGTGCGGAGTTGTTTGCCCAAAGTCCCGCTTTCCACTCGCAGGGATTTTGATGGCAGATGCGGCTCCCTAAATTGGAGCCTTCTTTGCGCATTCGCACCTCTCATTCTACGATATTCTACTAGGACACTATATGTTCCCGCAGAGGGAATCAGACACAGTGGCCTGTGCTCTTCGGTTGATGGTTTCTGAGGCGGACTCCAAGAAAAGCACGGCGAAGATGGCCACCCGTTTTGCATTTTGAGAGAGGAGCGTTTGCCATCAGCACTTGTAGGATTTAGGGTGTTGGGTATGGAAGAGAGTCCACTGGCGTTTTGAGCTCGAGCATCCGGCACGGTCCTCAGTTCCGGGTTCAAAAGGTTAAGGCGGTTTAAACCTCCAACGGTTCCGGCTTTTTTTGAATGCGTTTCGAGTTGAAGCACTTCTGACAGACGCCACCACTCTGGAGGGGCTCTCGGAGGTTTTAGGAAGACGGCGGCAGGGTCATGTTTCGTATTGCAAAAACTCCCGCAAGAGAGAGCCCAAAGCCTTTCATTCAAGGGGGGTCCTCAACTCCTTGCAAGTCCCGTTAGGGTTTTCCGAAGCCCTCATACAAAGACCCCTAAGCAGTACAAGAAGGAAGGAAGATCCCAAACCCAAAGCCCTTAGCCCGGCCTTGCCTGCCTGTGCGCGAGCGTTAGAGCCGAAACCCTGCTGATCCCTGCAGAGTGGCTGGGCGGCTTGACGGGTAGCAACCAAACCTAGACCCCTAAACCCTAAACCAAACCCTAGACCCTAAACCCTAAACCCAAAACCCTAGCGGACGGCCAGCCGAGAACGCGTGCCAAAAAACGCCCTAACCCCAAACCCTGAGGCAGTCGGCGGCAGCTGGTATGGTGGCATCCCCGGCTCCGTCGCTGACGAGGATGTGAGCAGCAACTTGGCTATTGGTGGGTTGAGGACGTTGAGGTTTCGGGCTCGCCGGTGGCGCTGCGTTGCGCACTGAGCCCGATAGGCCCTGAGCCCTAAACTATTTTGGGACGTCGCATGGTCCGGAGTCCAGGAGCAAAAGGGTTGAGGATGTAAACCTTTAAACTTAACCCTAAACCCTAAACCCTAAACCCTAAACCCTAAACCCTAAACCCTAAACCCTAAACCCTAAACCCTAAACCCTAAACCCTAAACCCTAAACCCTAAACCCTCCATGGGTTCCGGGGCTTTCTCGTTGCACTTGACCCCCTGCCCACGCATGACCCGGTGCCCAAGCTCCCGAAGTGCAGCAAGTTTTGCTTGGATCGAGGCTACTCGTCCGTGAGCGAAGTCTATGACATGAACAGGTCGGGGGGATGGAGGGGTCTTGGAGGGGTTTCTTGCAAAGGGACCCCCTGTGGCAGGCAGTCGCTGATGAGTCCGCGGCTCAAGCACACAGAGGAGTCACGCAAAAACGCAGGAATGTCAGAAAGACTGCAAGGGACGCTGAATGTAGTCGTGTGCCGTTGTCGCTGAGCTGGCCGAAGACAGAGACGCAAGGCCGCACGTCGAACAATGACATCCTGCAGCAGCTTCAACTTCAGCAGCTCCAGCAGCTGCACAGCTTGCAGATGGCACGGGAGGCACCCTTCCATGGCAACGCCTGCTTCTATGGGTATTTCCCAAGATAGGGGTGTACCCCTTTTTACCCCAAATAGAGTATGTAGACCCTGAAAAGGGACCCCTTAAAAAGGCGTAAACCCCCCATTTGTTTCAGCTTGTTGGAGGCCTCACTGCCTTCCACGCAAAATCCGGCCGAGGCGCAGCGGGGCAGGGCTCCCCTAAGTCACCCCATTCCTCGTGATCCTCGGGGAGCCTTCCAAAAGTTCAACAGTTGCCCTGTCCGACGCCTTGGTGGCACAAAAGCAACCCCACGGTACATGGTGCCGTTGCCTTCAAGCTTCTTGAAGTTGTATTCGGGGCCCAAAGATGAACCCTTAACCGCCGAAACCCTTAACCCTAAACCCCTGAAATAAGGGCTACTGGCGAACAACTTCGGAAGTGCCCTCGGCTCGGCAGGCTGCACCAGATCGGCTGCACAGGGTCGGGAGGCCATGCGCAAGAAGAGTTTAAG